GGGGGGCTAATGGCAGAGCCCCACCCCCCACCACACAGCATGGGGCAGCAAGGGGCAACGGGGATCCCCCCGCCACCTGGGAGGAGCTGGTGAGTGCAGGGCTTTATTTATTTTTTTTTTTTTTAAGTGCCAGGATGCTTGGGCCAGGCAGGGCAGCTATTGATGGGGCTGGAAGAGCAGGCAGGGGTCAGGGGGTGCTCAGGGGAGCTGGGGAAGCAGGCAGGGATGTGGCCTGGCAGGGGTCCCCCCCATGGTCCCCCTCTCCTCCTACAGCCCCCCTCCCCCCTTCTTACTGGCACAGAGTTTGGTCCAGCTTCCTGGGGCGGCGAGCAGGGACTGCCTGAATCTTCTCTGAATTGATTTGGAGGCTTCAGATCGATTCAGACCTTTTTATTGGTCTCCCAGTTCAATTCGGATTCAGAGATTCAGCCACCGAATCGGGCCAAATCTCCTCTGAATCGAATCAGCAATGCAAGCTTCACGCAGCCCTACTGTACATGTACCATTAGCCAGGTCATTAGACTATGAACAATGTTTCTTAGTTTCAACTTCAGCCTTTAGCTTTTACCATGTTTAAATGTTTTCATAGCATTCTGTTTCATTTGTTATAAATAAGTTCTGAGGAATACTGGAAAACAGGGTGTCTTAATCTTTAACAAAGGGAAAAAGCATGATGTTTCCAACATACTGAAGTGGACTTTTGCAAATATGAAAGAGTTTAAATGAGACATGTCACTATGGATTAAGTGTCCATTATGTTAGTACAATGCTGTATCTAGTGTGGAAGCATAGGAACTCCAGGAACTAATCCTTTCATAGCTGGATGATTTATTCTATGGAAGATTTGGCCATAAAAGTGTGTTGCATGTTTACACTGTGCTACAGTTGTAAACATTGAGAAGACAACTTGATTCATCAGCCCTTGCTCACACGAGTAATTCCATATAATACTAAGCTCACAATGAGTACTATTTAAGTGCACTTCATAAAATCACATTGCAGTCAGAGTTAATTCTTGAATCACCATGTAAACATCACTATGAATGTTATTTTTCTTTAGCTATGTATTACTTTCTCCCAACAACAACAAACATTTCACTAATTACATTATGAGAGGCAAGATGCTTCTATTTTGGGTACCAATGTACCATTCCTTAGGTCTCTAAGAAGGCTTTTCTCTTAAGAGAATTGAGAAATAGTGCAGTGGTACCCCAAAACTTGCCTATGTCCCTCCCAAACTATACAGTTGGTGCAATAAAAGATATCATCAGCCACAAAAATCCTTGCCTCTTGTATTTTTCCTGGACCATCATGGCTGCAACATTACCACAACACTGCCATTAATTACTTTGTGGTTATTTCCTGTAAACATAATAGCAATAGAAAGCAACAATAATTTTCTGCATTTGCTCAGTGTGAGTTTTTAGCACATCATGGCACTCAGAACAGAAGAACTTCCAAGAAATCGTCAATCCTGGGAACAGTAACAGTAAACTATTTCCATCGCTGAGGAGCTAATTACTCTCTTTAAAATGGAAGGCAAATAAAAAGCATGTCATAGCTATGATCAATTTGCCCGTCCACTGGGTGACACTCTCAGCCTAAACAAAAGTTACTTAACTATATCTAAAAATGAAAAAATGGATTGGAAGAAGTTAAAGTGTTTAAAGTATTTCTCTACACAGTGTTGCTAAATAAAGCATTACGTTTCCTCCTTGATGGAAGTGGAAACTTTTCAGATTAACAATTTGACTAAACTAATTTTCATTTATAGAGCTGTTGGAAACAAGTGAATAAATGAGGTGTGTGGCCATCTCTTGATGACTGAAGAAAGTGGCAGAACTAGTTAACCCCAGTGTGTAGCTCACTGGACTCCAATACCTCCATAACAATGGAAAACCATTTATAATAAAATATTATATTGATTAACCAGCAGTTTATGCTGCTGAAGACAGGGATGAGATGGTATTCCTAACATGCTAGTCAGCTTTACAGGAATATTTTTGATGTGTTCCATGTGAGTGTTGCTCCATTCCCAGCCAGCCATTACCAGATGGATGTGTTCCATGCGACTGGGATAAGTAAGAACAGTGCAAAGCTTTACAGTTTAAAAAATCCAATTTTTTAAAAACAGATCATGAGCCTACCTAATGTTAGCACACTCATTTAGAAACAATATACAATGAATACACAACACCAATCAATCTAACATAATAATCTTTCCCCTTATTCGTTGCTTGAAAGACGCACCACCAGTAAAGGGTCAGTCTGTAGCAAGGTCTGCACATAGAGTGATAAAGATAAAAGAGGTCAAAGGAACTGAAATCTAACCGGGATCAATCTGTCAGCATGATCTTGATTACTCTTCTTAGAGACTAGATGCTAATTGGCAACGGTGTTAATATGCAGAGATTTTTTTTTGAGCAAGAGCCTAACCACTAAGTCTGTGCAAAGCGGCTAGTATTCGTTTCAGATTCGGCTGATCAGGGGACAGTGATTCGATTCAGTGATTGGAATCACTGTTCCGAATCGATTTGGCCTAATCTGATTCTGTGATTCAGCTGCTGCCAAACCTCTGAATCTCCGAATCAGCCAGGCCAGGCTAAAGCTCCAAATCCCCGCCCAGCCCCACTTCCCCATCCCTTTGAGTACTTACCAGCTCAAAGTGGCTGGAGCCCCCTACTGCAGCCACCAGGGACTGCCCAAATCATCAAAGCCCTCTGAATCTTTTCCAAAGATTCGGAGAGCTTTGAATCAATTCAGACCTTTAAATTGGTCCCCTAATTCAATTCAGATTCGGAGATTCAGCCACTGAAATCGGGCCGAATCTCCTCCGAATAGAATCACCACCCGAAGCTTCGCACAGCCCTACTAACCACAAGATATTAAAGTACAGCTTGCAGTTTGCCTTATTGAATGCAGGCATTAAAAGTCCTTTTCAATAAAAGTTTCAGTTTCTTCCCCCTGGCAAAAAAAAAATCATCTGCAGAAGAAAGGAATCCATTTCACACCTGACTGACTGCAACCACCAAAGCATACCCCAAGCCAGTCAAATTAAATTGGACAAAAAACAATGCGCCAGATGATAGCTTCATTGCTATTCCCATGGAAGCATTCAGACCAGCCTTATTCAATTGATCTCTACAAATAAGTTAATGATTCCTCATGGCAAGAACCACTCTGTGGTTATTAAGCTCAGTCAGTGCAAGTTAATCTACCAAAAAGGCTAACAGCAACTTAGAACATTTTCAATGGCATGGCCAGGAAGCAGAACACTTAACTGCAACCATTTCACTATATTTTTTACTTCCAGTTGTTCCTGGTCTAATGAAAGTTTCTAAAACTGCTTAAATCCTCCTCTGTCTTCCCTCTGCAGTATGATGACTTGCAAAGATGTGTGTGGAGGGAAGATGCTTCATGACTGAGCCACCATATCTGTGGTAACAGGCAGCAGGGGCCATAAGGTTTTTAGGTAGTTAAGTCCTCAAGGGGCGTGTCTATACATGATGGTACATGGCCATCGCAACACACTACAGTGACATAGCATCTGCGGGGAAAAACTGTAATGTCACAGCTATGTCACCATAGTGATGTGCTCCCTCAGTATAGCGAAAAATAACTGTGTGGCGTGCATGACATATTACGGGGCTGTTACTGTGGAATCATTCAGTACTTCCAAAAGGAAGTACTAAATGATGGCGCAGTAACAACAGCACTGCAAGGGCACATGTATATGCACCCAGAGTGGTTCAAGAGCTGACCAATCAATAACCTCAGAGCATCATTCTCAATGATTTTCCCATGTAGATCACAGTATCAGATGGGTTGAAGTAGAAGCA